CCATTTTTGGTAACCTGCACCCAACATGTAAGATATTATCTATTTTGACCTGAAAGTCTTATAATTTTATCCCACAAAAGGCACTTCACATATTTGGGTTTAGATGTTAACATATATATTATAGCAAAATTTTATATTATCTCGATGTGAAATTGAATCGTCATACTAATTTTTTTTTTAAAAATGACAAAATCATATAGAGTTAATACAATAATCACAATTAAATAGTAAAAATGTAATAGGACTACAATTTTATTGCAAAAATCAATTAATAGTGCTTATGAATTGAATTAAAATTTAACTACTTAAATCAACAAAACAATTAATAGGAGATATCATGTAATTAATTAAAATTTTTTAATAAAAATATAATTAATAAAAAATTATAAAATATATTTTGAAGATCTATTGATAGAGATTCCTTTTCTCTTTAATAAAAAACTAAATTCTAATATCACATGTAAAAGAAAAAAAAAGACTTAACTATTTGATATTTATGTGTTTTGTTTTTCTTATTCTTTTTGATAAAAAATTGCTTTTATAGAAAAAAAAAAAAAGAGAATGTGAAAATAGTAATTATCAAGAAATTGGTCAAATTTTAAAATCAATTTATAAATTTATGGTTAACAAGAAAATTTTTTATTGAAAAAAACTATCAACTCTAACCTCCATTGACAATGAATGTTACCAAAAAATGTTTCATTTAGCTCAATTCAGTTTTGTAATATTATAATCTATTACAATATAAAAAGAATAATATTCGCACAACACTGTTTAAATTTTATTTACGCGTAAATATATAGCCTACAAAGAGAAAAATTCTTATTTATTATTATACGATATTTTTAGTTAACAATAAAAAATTACAATCAACATACAAATTACACTCATAATATTAAATTTAAGAATTGAATCATGAAAAAAATTTTCAAAAAAAAAAAAAAAACATTAGAAAGAAAAATGGAAAGCATAAAAGTATTAGTGTATAATATAATTAATAAACTCAATTGTACCACTTCTAATAATAATTAAGTAGTTAAACTGTTCATATTTCAATTTTGTTTTAAATTCTTATTAGTATTAATATATGAATTGAATTAGAAATTACTTAGTCAAAGATAGCATAGAGTAGAATTGCTAATTGAATATTGTATTATTTCTCATAAATATTAAATTTAAAATAATTTAAAATTATAAATGATATTTTAAAAATCCAATGAACAAACATACATATCCATTTATGTCGGTTCAAAAAAATTTTCATATCTGTGTTTTTATGTTCTTATATGATATAAATATGATATAAATTCTCAATTCTCAATTTTCTAACAATATGTGACCTGCACGAGGCGTTTGGATGCAGCCATTACAAGTTCTGAATGGGAGAAATAAATATATAGCAACAAAAATATAAAAGAACATATCACCTATAATTATTACATCATAATTTATAATTGATCATAATTCAAAATGATATGAGATCCATAAAAAATTTACATGGAGATACAGTAAATGAGAAATCCTCAATGGTGGACTGTCCTTGTAACTGGCCCACTAAAATTTTCAAAATATCTTATAATTAGTTTGTTTTTACTGTTTGGTTAAAAAATTAAATTAACTTTCATATTAAAATTATTATTTATTATTTTTATTTTTATCTTTAAGTTAATTTTATACATTGTAATTTAAGATGAATTAAAATTACATTATTATTTATCTATTTATTGTATATAAAATCATGATTCACAAACTCTTAAAATCAACATATTTATCATAAATTTTAAATCACACTCACTAAATTAAAAAAAAATAAATAAATTAACTTTTTGCTTTCCACCAAATATCAAAAGTGTTTTGTTTTTCTTTTAATTAACTATATTTATTTTCTTATATTTTTGTTAGTGTTTTAAATTTTTTTTATTTGATGAAATTTCAAATGAATTATAGTAATTGCATGAATTCTCATTTTCCATTGCTTGTATTCTCATCTTCCTTGAAATACTTGTATTCAACATATATGTGATAAACATGAATATGAAATTCATATAATCCAAACATATTCAACACTCATATTTGATAATCACTTTCGAATTTGATTAACATAATAAATAAAAATATATATTATATAATTTTAATTAATTTGTTGAAAATTCAATGTCAAAATTTATTATTGCGAATTCAAATATAATTTTTTATTATAATTAAATAATTACAAAATTATAGTTAAAATAATTATAAATAAAATGCACTCAGCCCTACAGCGCAAGCGGTCAAGCGCCCGCACAAGCTTTTTACAGCTTCTCTTTAATTACGAATCCCTACCACAAAAAACAAGCAACTTTTCTGGAGCTCGTGGTTTTCGCCTACAAGACAATCCCAATTGCAAGCCAATATGAACCCTTTTAGATATATTATATATATATATATATATATATATATGTAAATCTTGCAAACTAAGATAATTAATTGTTATGTCTAACTTTATCATGAACCTATATATATTTTTGTTAGGAAAATAATAATATAATGTCTGTTAGATTGTACGTGCATAATTAAAAACATATTTTTCTTTCATAAAAAAACTTTTTTTTTTGAAAAATTTGAAACGAGAAGAAAATTGGCCTTTAGACATCTAATTGATCAAAATTATTGTCTAGGGTGAAAATGGGACGACATAAAATTGGTTTAAAAATGGGATTAGCATTACATTAAGCAAAGCCTAGCTAGGTAATTATATATCAAACTCTTATTATTAAAATTAAATATTAAATATTCTATTAATAAATCATATGATTGTTGGTCTAGTCAATTATAAATCTAAATAAATTTAAATTTTTTAAAGAATGTTAAAGTATTTAATTGAATCTAAATTTTAATTCAATTAATTTATATAATCGCTTTTAAAAATTAAGAGATGTTATTCAACAAATTTAATATTTAAATTTAATATTTGTAATTTTTTCCTATTTTTAAACTATTATCTCTTTTGTATTAAAAAAATAATTAATTAAACCCTTTTTTTTTCAAATTTTTTAAAGAAAAAATAAATGAGTACTGGCAATTGTTTCCTGGCATGCTATGATTGATGACTAACCACAAGATTAGGAGTTTCAAATTAAAATTGAAGGGCAAAAGAGGAATTGGATTAAAAAAAATTAGCAAACCCCAAGATTAGCTCTTGGGTGGAGCTTAAAGGCACAATAAACTAGGTGACCTCAAAATTAGTAAAATTAATAATCCTAAATTAAGGGACATTGAGTCTCTTAACAAATTAGTGCTTTAATGAGTTGTGTTTGTCTGTCAATTGTTTGTTAGAAAACCACATTATTGTTAAAGCCACATTGCTAATCCTGGTAAGTGGAGTAGTTGTGTTGCCATGTTTGAATCCCTAAAACCGGGTTTCCTCGTACATGTCTGTGTTTTTGGCTTGTATTCATCAGGCTGAGTGATTGCTGCAAAGAAAGTAATAGTACCGGCCAAGATACATGGCATGTCTCTTATGCTATTGAGGTGGGTTTAACTTATGCTATTCTACCAACTTTTGATTTGTATGAAACATAGAAATATTATATTATATCTATATATTAAGTTATTAACTATACATTTCATGTTTTCATTTAGTATATAAATACATCATATCATATCAATAAAAAATCGAAACTAACTTTAATTAGGAGAATGTGATATCAATATTTGCAATTAATTATTATTATTGAATTGAAAAAATTCAAACCCAAATTTTTAAATAATACTAATACACGTAATATCTTTTAAAAATAAAAATTGTGACTCTAAATAGGAGAGAAATTTCTAGTATTACTACTAATGATGAACATTAATCCCTTCTCATAATAACACCACAAGAAAAAAAATGTAAAAACAAATAAATACAAGGGCTAATTAAAGTCAACATTTGCAAGAAGAACATAATTTGAATTATGTGATTGGATACTCCTCACAAATTAATCCACATTAGACTTCCAAAGTAAATAGACTGCAACTTGGCTTGGAGCGATGGATGGGGGGAATCTTTATTTTCTTTCTTTCTTTCAAGTAACTACTTCTTGATTTGCCACTATTTCGGGTTATATATATATATATAGAATATTTGCCACTCTTATTTCTTTCTATTATGGGAATATCTTAATGTTCTCTCCAAATTGTTGAAAAAGTCAAAACTGAAAATTTTTACAGTGCCTCTTTTTTTTTTTTAAAGAAATTTGCACTTCTTTAATTCCATGTGAAAGAAAATTTTTTTTCAAGTTAAAGGTATGAAAAACTAGATCAAATTTAACTATATATATTTTATAAAAAAGACAGTTCAAATCTCCTTCCAGAAATTAAAGCAAAACAAAAAAAAAGGTCTATTACTGTATTAGAGTTTCATGCCCTTTTGCCCTTTGGGTATGTTGAGAGTATATATACTCACATTCCCATCCTGTGCAGTAGTTACTTAGCTTTGAAGTCATACCAGGGGTGATAATACGTTTGGAAAGAATGTGTAATGCAAAAAAAAAAAAAAAAAAACCTTTATAGCCAGAAAATATATGTCATCTTTCCAAGAAAAAGCTGTGTTTTTTTTTATAGTAAATTAAAGGCTGTTATTTTTTTTTATTGTGGTTTTTAACTACGTGACCTACTTCTAAAGATCAGACCTGTACATGTATATCCTTACAAGTTGCTTTAATTTTTACCTATGTTATATAATTATTATAAAGAATTAAGCTTAAGCTGACTTTGATAAACCAATATAATCTCTTAATAGTACTGCAAATATGAAGTTTCCCAAATCATTTTTATTTTATCAAGAATCAATAGTCCATTAACTCAATTAATGTTAGACTCACAAATTATAACATAAAATCTTAAAATACTAGGCTTAATTTTGTTTAATTCAGATTTCCAACAAAAGAGAGGCTGCTCCAACCTACTTCACCCACCAAGGGATGATCAAAGGAAAAAAAAAAAAAAACTGAGTACTATCAAAATATAAATGTTAAATGCAGCTCCTTCAAGAAGAGCTTAGTAGCAATAAGGAGCTCTTAAGCCAAGGAGATAGAAAAAAATGTTTAAATTAGCCTAGAATGGGAGACATGGAAACAGTACCCACGTTCTCCTCATATCTTTCTTTTATCTCTCTTATCTTTTCCCGGTAACCACCCATAGGCCATATATATAATAAGCCCAACTATTGACAAAATGCTGTGTATATATCTCTCCAAGGAATAAATATATACCCTTCCCTTTCTTGTGAACCTCCATAAATACTCTCATCACCATACCCTTTTCCTCTCTCTGCTGTTAACTCCACTGTCTTGATAACTACTACTGATCAAGGAGAAGGCTCCATCCTTAATATCAACTGTTTATGGTGATCATGGTTTGTGTCATTTCTCTATCAAAATTCTTATGGTTTTTGTGGTTTATCGAACTCCTGGCTTAATTGGGATATTGTTTTTTTTTTCATGGTGCTTAGGGAATTCAAAAGCCTGCATGGTTGGGAGCCCTCTACACACAGAAATTCTTCGTGGGGTGTTCTTACCATGAAACTGTGAAGAAGAATGAAAAGAATGTGTATTGTTTGGATTGTTGCATAAGTATCTGCCCTCATTGCATTCCTTCACATCGTTTTCACAGGCTGCTTCAGGTTCGTCGGTACGTCTATCATGATGTTGTCAGATTGGAAGATCTTCAAAAGCTTATAGATTGCTCTAACGTTCAGGTTTGTTATTTATTTCACAGAAGAAACAAAAGATCGATGAAGTTCAATTTTGGTCTTGCGCAGTTTGTTTTCTTGTAGAATTCAGTTCATAGTTGCTAATTGATGATCATGACCTTAATTGGATTAGGCCTATACTATAAACAGTGCTAAAGTGGTGTTTATCAAGAAGAGACCTCAAAACAGGCAATTCAAAGGGGCTGTAAATTACTGTACTTCGTGTGACAGAAGTCTCCAAGAACCTTTTATCCATTGCTCTCTGGGGTGCAAGGTACAATATAATAAATATTGACTTGAATTTTGACTTGTTAAATTAGCTTAAGGAGTACTGCTGATCATCAATCAAATGTGTTTAACCCCTTAAATTCATCAGGTGGATTTTGTGCTGAAACACTACAAAGACCTCTCTCCATTCCTAAGGACATGCAACACTTTAACACTCAGTCCTGACTTCCTGATTCCACAAGACATGGGAGACGATGAAATGACAAACGAGACACCACATTCAACAATAGTGGACAGTGATGAGCCAATGAGCTGGTCTTCAGGGTCATCAGGGTCATCAGGGTCAGAGAACATGAGCATGGCATACAGTTGTGATCAGATTGTGAGGAAGAAGAGAAGTGGGCTATATTTGTGGGGGGGATCAGCTAATAAGATTTCTGATGAGGACATGGCTACCAGCATCAGTAGAAGAAAAGGCATTCCCCATAGATCTCCTCTATGTTAGAAGATAAAAAAACTTAATTAAAAATTTTTTTACTACTAGTTTAATTTTGATATTTTTGACTGAATCATTAATTTCGAAATGCTTTAAGCTCTGTCTCTCTTTCTCTCTTTATCTTTCAAATTAATTTAGTCACTTGGTCGGGTGGTTTTGTCTTAATGGCATCACGTGATTCCCAATTCCAAGTTAAGTGTTTGTACAATTTTTTAGTATTTCTGTTTAGTTTCTCATTACTATATGATGATTACTTTTTATTTATTCAAGCCATGAATTGAAGAACTCTATTGTTCTATTCTTTTGACTCTCCCACATATAAACAGTACATTTTCATACTTAAATTATTACCTACTAATATGGATGTGAAGGGCTATCTAATTTTTCTAAGGCAAAAGGAAAATCTCTATCAATATACTAGATTCATAAATCCAACATATAACAAAATATAATATGATAATTTAAAATTATATCCAAGGCATTCCACAATTTATCCAAGGCTAACAGCTCCCTTGGAAGATATGAAGGGAAGGGCATGAAGTTTTCTTTTATTATTATTTTTTTATTATGATTAAAGTTTAAATTCTAAAATTTCAATCTTGAAATCAATTTCATTATTATTGAATTAACAGCTCATGAATGAAGTTTTCTTTCGTTAATTATATCAAGTTGATGATAAATAAAATCTTTGTCACCACCCTCTCTGTCTCACGCTCATGATGGATGGATGTTAAAAAATTGTTAATACAATGGAATGGAAGATTAAGGGGCTTTCATTTATTTCTTGACCATCCCACAATTACTACAGACAACAGCATCGTCTTCCCTCGAAGAGAGTGAGTCTAATTTAATTTTTTAGTTTAAACCTGAAATTTTTGACCAGTCAAACCCTATCATGCTATTAGCAAGCTTTAACGAATAGAAAAAGCCTCTATTAAAAAAGCATAGACTAGTACTAGTACCTAGGAAAAGCAAATTACTTAAACAAGTTATTTTGTTAGCAGGGACCAGTTCAATCTTTTAAGTGAATAATTAATTAAAATTAAAATTCAAAATCAGAATAGATTAATTGATAGAAATGAAATAATAGATCAATAGTATAATAGTATATACTAATAAATGTTAAAATGATTATCATAACGTCTGATTAAAGTATCTTAGATACTAGTTATTTATTATAATGAATTCATTTTTCATATTATAATTCAAAAAAAATGACAAAAGATGATATAAAATGAGTTTGAAGACTATGATTGAAAGTTGTTATATAAATTAACATGAACATTTAATAATCAAAGTTAAATAGTAGAAATGTAATACGACTTTAACTTTGTTTCAAAAATATATTAGTGTAAAGATGTATGAATTGGATTAAAATCTAATTATTTAAAATGAATAAAATAACTAAAGAGTAAGATCAAGTAATTAACCAAAATTGTTATAACTAATAAAAAATAATTTAAAAATGACTTTTATTTATTTCTTCTTAACTTTCTGACAAAAAATTTATTTGGTAGAAAAAAAAAAGAATGTGTAAAAATGGTTATTAGAAAGAAAATATTTTTTTATTTAAAAAACTATCAAGCCAAACCTTCTTGACAATACATGTTATCAAAGAATTTCACCATTTGACTTAATTCACTTTTCTAATAGGCTAAAAAAATAATGAATTTTATTACTTTATTTAGATAAGTTCTTTTTTTTTTCACCCAAATAAGTTTTTAACATTTACTTTATATCTAAATAAGTTTTTAAATTTTAATTTGTATTTAAATAAACCATTAGCTTTGAATTTATACCTAATAAGCACTTAACATAAAATTAATTTTTTATTTGAAATAAGAGTTTACTTGAATACAAATTATAAAATAAAATTTTATTTTTGTATAATAAAAATGTAAAAACTTATTTAAATAAAATGATAAAGTTCATGAGCTCTTTTAGTATTTTAACCACATTGAATTGTATAAACATGTGAAAAAGATCAATATTCACACATAATTAGAACTTAGCTAGTAAATCTAATTATTGCCGAGTAGAATTATTAATTTATTACAAAGATAATTTTTTATAAATATTAAATTTAAAATAATTTAAAATGATAAATTATATTTTAGAAATATAATGAATAACTAATATCTATTTTTATATTTATACATTTATATGTATTTTATATCATAGTTTATAGATAATAAACACATATCTCTGCGGTGGGGAATTTGGTGATGGAGGTCAGAAAGATGCTAAGCCACATGGTGGGTTGGTCATGCTCTCATATTCACCGGGAAGCCGATGAAGCTGCTCATAAGTTGGCAAGAATGGCTGTGGATAATCTAGAATACTCGACCTGCAATGGTGATTATCCACAGCATATTGCAGATATTGTACTACATGAAAGGCCATCTTTAAATTAATTATATTACTTTTTCTCAAAAAAAAAAGTAAACGAATATGAATTTCAGCTATTTATGCAAGGTTTATAACGCGATGCCCACTTGGACTAAAATCATTTTACGGCTACGAAACATTAAAATGGTGGGCTCATTGAGGGTTTGATTGAAGCCTTTGATGGACCACTCTCGTGGGAGAGAAATATAATCAATGGGCCTTATATCCTACTAGCTCAATTGCAAAAATTGGTAGATTATGGTCTGCGTAAATCATGAAAAATAGGCCCAGTGTTGATGTCACTGCACTGAGCTTTGTTTCAGAGGCTGAAATTTTCAGTATTCTCTTCAAATATTTCAGCCATGATATATTGATATGTGTTGTTGTTTTTTTGTTTTTTTTTTTCTTTGGCACATACGATCTTAAATTACGAGTGAGAGATAGTCCTCTTCAATCTTGTAAACCTCACGTCACTGATTAAAAACCTCCATATTAGAGTTTTTTATAATATGAAAAATTTTAATTTCAAACAAATTGAGTTTTTATAATATTAAAAAATGTAAATCTTTATTCTTAAATTAATTATTAATTAAAAAATAACTTATTAATTATAATTTTAAATATATTACTAATATATAGTAAAAAATATATATCAACATGCAAGATAGGTGACAACAAATACTACTCTCACAAACTCTATTAGCTCAACTTGAAATTAACACACTTAGCGTACCTCATGCCTTAGGCTTTAGTGACATATAACCACTAGTCCCAATTTTCAACAGTTGAATCAGATTAAAGAAAACTCAAAACAACAATAGTTAACTAGACATTGCTGAAATGCCGATCTATGAAATTTTGAATCCAACCAAAAAAGAAATTGTTTAAATGCCCAGTTCTGGCAATTATGTTGGATTCCAATCCATAGAACTTGGATGCTTGAACCTAAAAGCTTTCTGAGTGCTATTACTGCTGTATATTGAAAATTGTATACATCCTTTTCAGACATGAATCTGAAGCACCATAGGACAAGGAAAAATAAATAAATTAACTACTGTGATGGAATATATATATCTTATTATCCCTGTTCCTTGTAAGAAATGTAAATCTAATTGGCGGGATACCCCGCGAAGTGCCAAATCACATAAGGTATTAAGGGTAAAACCTGCTGACAAAGCCCATTTTCTCTTTCAAATCAGCAAGGGGCCCTAAGCCAACAATTCTCTAGTGGACACCTATCTTTGCAGCTCTCTTCCTTGATTGGCCACCTTGGCATTGCTTTCTTAACTCTTGTGCTTTCTTTTTTCAAACTTTTTCTTTCTCCTTTTTGAATTCTTCCTTTGCGTCCCAATCTGATTCTGATGCAACATTTCATTGACTCTCACGGAAGTAGTTAGTCCAGAGATCTCTTCCGAGGAAGATCAAAATTCTCAGGTATCCCGCTGAGGCTGAACAATATTTTGGTAAAAATTAATACTCCAAAACTTTTAATGGTATATATTCTATATAAATAGTTGTATAAGAATTTTTTTTGGGCATAAATTTGACATATAAAATATCAAAATTCCTAATGCAATATCAACTTTAATAAAGAATTTATTCCAAAGCACATCCAAAGGCGCAACCACCAAATAAATAAAATAAAATAACTCTAGAAAATGAATAAATAAAAAGCAAGCAACAAAAATGAAAATTCTTCATTATACTTTTTAAGTCATTACAATTAAGGAAGTACACCAAGTTCCCAGTTTGTCATTGGACTATGATTATATGCTATGTCCTACAAATTGTTGTAAATAATATTGAACTATTATTATAAAAAAATAATAAGTTATTATAATTAATATAGAAAAACAAATAATTAAATGCCATTTTCAAACTTCATGTAGAATCAATTCACATTTTTGCATGGCTAGATAGCATAATTAAAATCACTACTATTATTTAATAGCAACAACCCTAAGATTATGTATAGTGTTCATTGTCAACCACACATTATATTAAAATATCTATCACATTATATATCTCCATTCTGCACCTTCAAAGTTATATTGGTAAGTCAAAAGGAAATTGATAATTTGCCTAGCTTAAAAGTCCAATAAATGCATTAAGCAAACAGCAAAAATATGCTTCCAGGCTAAGTTTTATTGAGAAATAAAATCTAAAGTTATCATTACCTACTCCAATCAAAATCTCCAAGCCTTCTTGGCTAATTGATAGATATTCCATTAATTATGTTTTTTTTTTCCCCAACTTTTTCCTTGAATGTTCAAATATAGAGTACCTTTGCAGCATTTCCAGACAACCCAGCTGGCAGGAAAATGTTTATAAAGTAAACAGCCATGTGTATAACTCCATGATTGCTCAAGAAAAAAATAAACAGGTTTTTGGTGAATGCCATTTGGAGCAAGAAACCCAGTGATCATGAAACAGCAAGGTCAACAGTGGCCGGTGCTTGCTTTCGTTTGATTGGGTTCGGATTTAGAGTTGTCAAAATATTGAAGCTTACTGTTCATGTGGTTAGGTTGTCTATTTTCCAATTAAATGCCTTAAACCTTGTTGCTGCAGAGGCGGTGTATACCAAACATTTTGTGTCTTAAGCTTAAATATTCCATTTTCATCAGTCCTTGAAGCTTCAAGTTTTTATTTGATTGGTACAATGGGGATTAATAAAAGCCCAAAGTAGGCAACTGAAGGAGTTTTATTCTACCTGCACTAGATAAAATAAATGAGGGAAAAAATATGTATCTATTTTAATTTTTTTAAGATATATTAACAGTTGACAATTGCAATAAACTTGTTGATCATATTCATTGATTGAACTGCCACAAAAATTAAAATCGATCATGTCATAGTCTAATTTCAAAAATTAAGCTACAACAACCACATAGCATCAAAGCAATGTCAATTGTTTTTTTTTTTTTTCATTTTAGCCTTCTTGATCTAATAAAAGTTGGACCCAATTTGATTAACTATATCTTTTAAGATCTCTTATTTTTAAAAAAAGAAAGGTTTGAACGTAGTAACGCCCATTGACAGATACGGAAACTTGACGAGCGGATGTGAATAATATCAGAAAAGTATTGGTGTACATTAAAGGTAGTTCAATAGGTATATATTCTGTTGATAAAATATTAAAATTTTAATTTTAATAAATAAATTTTAAATTTTAACAATTTCAAATAAAATTAACTTTTAATATGAACAATTCCAACCTTGTGGGTAGTAAAGCATTGATGGTTTGGTTTCTTTAACTTGATGGATTTGTTAAAGAGACATTTAACTGATTTAGCATAATTTTACAGGATATAAGCTATTCAGTAATCAACCAACCATTGCCACACAAGTTACAAAGCTTTGCAACATATCGGAAGACAAGGTTTGTCTTAGCTTGCTATGGTCTATCATCATGATTATATAAATAATTTATAATTATTATATTATAATTAATTAATTATAATTTAAAATTATATAAAATTTAATATAAAATTCATATTTATAAATGATGAAAATTTTTATAATTTTTTTATGATTAAATAATTACAATAAAAAATTATAGGCGAATTTTCACCTGTTACCTGTTTGCAGTCAATCCATATGACAAGAAAGTTCATGGGATTTGCTTTTCCACTTGTGAAATATCTTTTCCTTTCCATTTTGGGACACCACAGTACTAATTCTATTTCTAAGTACCCAAATGCAATTTTTTTTTTTTCATTCATTGAGAACTCCATAGAATTGGCCCTTAGATGACATAAGAGAGCATTCCATCAATTAAAAATTGAGAATTTATTTTGGAATTTCAATCGAGTTTCAAGAAAGATGATAGTATGTGAGATTATGGATATGCTCATTGTGAAACCTGATATGTTTTCATTTGTTATTTTCAAAGGGATTTTGAAGTGGAAAATTTGACTCAAAAGTAAAAAAGGAAAGTGAAACTGAAAATGAAGAAAAAGTCACTATGGTCATGATAGTCTTAGCTCAATTGCCACTAGCAGCAAAACTTGGATTCAAAGTCAGACTTTATGCAAAAAATTGCCCAGTCTTAAATTATTTTGTCCCCTCTGTAATGTATAGCTTTTGATTATGATGAGAGAATAAGGTGTTCCCAAAAAGAATTTTGAAGAAAATATAAATGTAAACCCCACAAGTAAAACAGATCATGTCAGCAGTCACAACTCACAATCAATCAAAAATCGAAACTTCAAACCCTCATTACTCTAAAACCCAATCAAAATCTAACAGACTAATAATAATATATAATACTTAAATTACCCAAAGAGGCCTAAAGGGTAAAGGCTAATAAGTGAAGCTGATGAAAAGAGATTGTGGGAAACGGAGATGGTTAGACACGTTTCAGAATGATTGACAACTTGAAAATTTGACAGAGAAAACCAAGTCTTTTGGTCTTTTTCTTTTTCTACGTTTTGTTATAATAAGTATTCTTCTAGGACCAGCTAAACACGTTTTGTTTCAAAGCCGTGTGCCCAGAATCTATGGCGGTCCAATTGATAAAGAAAATATAAAATATAAAAATGGGAAATGCATTGAGATCTCTGTGGGCTTGTTTTTTTTGTTCCTTTGTCCTTTTCTTTCTTTTTTTTAATGAATAAATCTGCTCTCAACAACTGCCCATTTTCTTATGTGTATGAACTACCACGTATTAAGTTTACTGTGGAAAGCTGTAAAAATAATTGGAGTACACCGTGTAGAGGTTTAAATTAATGTTTTGATATTAAACAAAGAGAAAAACCAAAAAGAAACTAGCAAATAATTAAAAGAAAAAAACGAAACTTGTAAAGACATCAATACCCTATTTGCATTTTCGAATTGACAATCTCTGATGGAGTTTCGCTTTATTTTCACAAAAAAGTGATAAAATGACAGATTTTTTTATTAAATTTTACATAAATTACTTAGGATTAAGATGAATAAGGATGGTTGATTTGGTATTTGAGAGTGTACAGTACCAATCACATTTTTCATAGGATTTTAAAATTTTACTTTTTAAAATTATTCTAATATAATTTTTTAAACTCAAATTTTAATGAAAAACTTCCCAAAAGTATATAAAAAAAAAGAATTTTACTTTTTAATACTCAAATCAGCAACAGATCTAAAACATTTAATCTCGCCCAAACATATCACTGTTTGTTAATTATGGTAAAATGCAAGTGTCAGCTTCTTAAGATTCAATGGTTAATGAAATTAGCCAATGAGTTTTTGTTTAATAGACAAGAAAGTAGTCTTAAAATCTTAAATTTTTAGATTTAAATTTTATTATATATAGGTTTGATTATTTAATTATATTATAATTTATTAATTTTTTAAAAAATTAATTATTACATCATAATCAAGTTATAATTATTGAATAATTTATTAATAAATTATAACATAATTATACAATAAAATTCACATGTAATGAAACTTGAATCTAAGACTTCAAAATTCTAAGACTACTAAACCAAAGCTTCTTTAGCTTAAAATTTGTTAATTAATTATTCAGTGATTGTAATTAGATTATAATATAATAGTTGATTGTTTGATTCATTATATATGAATGTAATATTTAATTATGATTGTAATTTTAAAAATTAATAAAATTAAACTATTGTATCATTTTATTTTTTATTAAAATGAAAAATAAAAAATTGGCTATATTTTTATTAAGATAGAATTGCATCCACTAAAATCAAAACACATAGCTATATCCTTATCATTCATTTGACACTTAGTTTTAGAGGCAACTTGCTTGGAGATTTGCTTATAAATGCCTAAATTGTAATATACTATTTAACTAGTATTTCTTCTCTCTTTACATTTTTTGACACCCTCTTTTAGTCTTTTTAATTTTGGTATACAATTTCTCACTTCAAAAATTTTCGATTCAAAATAGTTTTTTTTTTTTTACAACTAATATTTTAAAAAATAAGCCAGTTATTTTTTTTAAATTAATATCTTAAACTACAAAAGAAAAAAATGATAAAAATTAAATAAATAAATAATATTTTACAAAATATTTAAATTTTTTGAATTTTTTTTCAAATTAATACCTTAAACCATGCTGCAAAAAAATAAATAAATAATAAATAAATAAAGTCAATCTCTTTTTGAATACTAAAATAGTATTAAAGATAAATAAATTAATTAATTAAAAACAATCTCTCTTTAAAAAGTGAAGCGTGTAATGATGCATGAAAATTTAAATAAATTAAGTATGCAAAAATAAAAATGAAAGTATGAAGAATACAAACTTTGCATGGAAATTCAAATTGATTAAGTTTGCAAAAGCAAAAACGAAAATATGTAGGATACAAACTTAGCAACATTTCAAAGTAAAAAAAATGTTATCCTCTTCCTCTTGAAAACAAGATAAAAAAAAAAAAAAACAATAGACACAATAAAAGACAATAAAAAAAAAGGCTTTTCGTGTAAAAATTTTAAGATGATAATTGAAGTAAATTGAAATTATGTCTAAGATATAAAGTAATGTCGCAGGAGTCATGCATTTATGATGGCTAAGAAGAGATGTGAAACGAAAACAAGTAATATATACGTTAGAAAAAAAAAAAATGTTTTGTCATTTAGAAAAGATAGGTAAAGAAGAAGAAAGAGATGGAACTTAATTGTTTTATCTTTTTATTTATTACTGAGACAAAAGTTTACGAAAGAAATAAAATTATTAATCATAAAACTTAATTCAAAATTTTAAATTTTAGTATAAGTAATTTTTTTTTTTTGTTTTCAGATTATGAAATTTTGTATAAAAATAAAATCATATCTTTTATTTCTTGTATTTAAATTTTTTGCTCATGTGTTATAATTTGTAAGGCACTTATGGCTAATATGTTAGGATAAATTTGAAATACGACACATATCAATTTATCAAAAGGTTAATGTAAAGTCAAAATGCATTTATAACTAATAAAAGAAGTCTTAAACAATCTTTATTAGTAGGTTTATAGACCTTAGATATGTATATGATTCCACAAATACAGTATTTGTTCAGTTAATAAAAAAATTAATAAATTACATTCTTTTTTTTTCTAAAGGGTAAATGGGTCATATTGAAATTTTACCCGACAATAATTAGGTGTTCTTAAATAAAAAGAAAAGCAAAGCAACAACCTCCCCCATAAAAGGCAAAGCGAAGCTTGTCCTCAGCCAAAGCACCTTTAATTAACTTCTAAAAAATGGAAATAAAAAAAAGAAAAAGCACCTTCACCAGTTCATAATCAAGTTTAATTAGAGTTAAGAAAATAAAATGTAATCATCCAGTAAAATAAAAATGCAGAAAATCTTGATGGGCATTTTGGTAAAAAAAAAATACAGATAAGATTTGAAGGGACCACACCCTATAATCAAAACTTTCTTTCCCTAAACGTGAAGCTAACATGTTGTAGTAGTTTCATCAACCGCTTCATATTGCGAACAACTCTCTTTCTTGCTCTCTCTCTCCCCTCTCATAGGAAAAAGGAAGAAGAGAGGACAGAAACAAAGAGAAAAAAAAAAAAAAAAGAGACGAAAGTGAAAACATAATGTTATGTTTCAGATCAAACGCTTATGCCTTGTTTCTTGTTTTCCTTTTCTTTTTGTTTCTTTTCAGACATGAAGTGGTTTCTGAAGCCTCAGATGTCCGAACTTTGCACATCCCAGGTATTAATTTTTTATATTTTTTGAAGTAAAGTTATGGTTATTATTTCCGGGGTTTTTTTGGTATAACTGTTTCTCTTTCTTTGATAGGGTATTATAAAAGTTTTGTCTTTGGGGGGAGAGAGCACAGTGAAGTGTTGCCATGGAGGAAGATAGAAAGGAGGAATCTTGCAGAGGGTAGTGAAGCAGACAACTCATCTTTGATTTTGGCTGAAAAGAGGACTTATAGGAGAGACCCTCTTAATGATTTTAAGAAGTACACTGGTGGCTGGAATATCAGCAATGAACACTATTGGGCTGTCAGTTTCTTCTCTTCTTCACTTTTTAATGTATCTTTTTTTTTAAAAAAATTATTTCGTTCTGGTTTTCAAGTATTTTCACTGTTTATGTCATTTTGGTGCTTTTTGACAAATTGAGATATTTAGCCACGAGTGATGAATTTTCTATCTACTTGTTGGCTGGTTTGCTTGTGTTTGGTTACTTCATGGGTTTTTTATGTACTTCTTGGCTGGCTTGCTTGTTATTGGTTCTTTCCCTTATATTTGATTTAATTATGCTGTCTTATTTTTGTTAATGTAATCTCGATTAAGAAAATTTCTTTTGAATTGAACTATCTTGCCACTCACTTATACTTCAACTTGAAACTCTCCTCAGTCTCTCTTATCTGTATTCAAGTTTTCATATGTCTTGCTTATAAAGTAGATTCTTTCTTTTATTTTTTTTTTCCTTTTGTTTAATATCATTTTTCTATGGCTTATAATGCAGTCTGTGGGTTTTACGGCGGCTCCTTTCTTTGCCATTGCTGCAGGCTGGTTTGTGATATTCGCACTATGCTTGTGCATCATATGTATCCGACATTGTTGTTGCCAACTAAATTCTTACGGCTACTCTCGGACAGCTTATGCACTATCTCTTATTTTCCTCGTACTCTTCACCATTGCTGCAATGTAACTCTCTTCCTAACTTTCTAAGCTTTCAAGATATGTATTTTTTAAATAAACCATATGATTACTCATTCCATATTTAACTTCATATTGCAGTGTCGGGTGTGTTGTGCTATACACTGGTCAGGGAAAATTTCATGCCAGCACAATGAACACACTGGATTATGCTGTTAATAAGGCAGATGTTACTGCTGAAAACCTCAGGAATGTGTCAGATTATCTTTCTGCGGCTAAAAAAATTACTGTCGATTCAACTATTCTATCACCAGATGTCCAAAAAAGCATTGATGATATTGACAAGAAGATCAACTCTTCTGCTTCGACTCTTTCCCGTCAAACAGGCGATAATAAAGACAGAATTCAACATGGCTTGGACCAAATGTAAGTTAAAGCTTCTAGAATCCTGAAATTAGAATAATCTTGGAGTGGGCATCATCAGACTGATCTAATGCTAAATGCTGCAGGAGGTTCGCTCTTATTGTTGTTGCTGCTGTGATGCTCTTTTTGGCATTTCTTGGATTCTGTAAGTTACATTGTTGTTCTGATCATTGCTCCAATATTCTTAGTAATTAGTAATTAGATTATTTCAATATGATCTAAACTTTGGGCCATTTTTGATGACTTGCTGCAGTATTCTCCATTCTTGGATTGCAGTTTCTGGTATACACGTAAGTGAAGTATCATTAACATATATTTGGTTCTATGCTTCATAATAAATTGGTACAACTCTTGAAGTGAACCTATGTTACTTTATTGCACTTCCCTTAACAAACACCTCTGTAATTAATGAATGCAGGCTGGTGATCCTTGGTTGGATTCTTGTTGCTGGCACATTTATTTTGTGTGGAGTATTTCATCTCCTTCACAAGTATGTTCTGCTAAATCCCATGTTTCTCTGTTAAGAACTCATATATTTTTAATTTTTACCTTTTTCCAGCTTTAATAACTTAAATTGTACCTTTCTAAGTAAATTCATTTATGTTTACTCACGTATAAGGTTCTGCTTTTATTCCACCATGCTTGTTTATTGTTCAAATCAGTTCTCGAACTTTTAGCCATATTTAGCCCTTTCTCGAAAAAAAAAAAAAGTTATAAAATTTACCCAGGAATGAGACCAACTCATGCACGGATATGTGTCTTCAGTAATTTAAGTGACTCATAATCAGGTTTAAGACGTATTATGTGTACAAACAAACAGGTTACTTTTCTATTGTTTTTGGCTGAATTTTCTTCCTTGTATATAAGTTTTTTTGGTGTATCAACTTGGTTTATGTGTACAAAACTTCTCTACACCTGAGTTGTATATCCATGTAGTTATACACTGACAACAAACCTGCTGACTAGAGAAAATCTTTCTCACGCCCTTTTTAATGCTAGATAGGATATTTTGGTTTCTGAAGAGGATGAAATGGAAGATGAAATGGAATGTAGAAATTGATAAGGCTTTGCCTAGTCTAGTCTATCTGCCACAACCAAGTTTCTAGAGTTAAATTTTTAGTATATATGGTTTGACTTTCTTCCCATACTTGTATACTGGATTATCTGCTCTTGGTAAAATTTTAGACTTCTTTCTTGATGTCTCAAGTTCTTGTATGGTTGGTTTAAAACATAATTTCTTCTGTTGTCTGTCTTTGTTCTTTCATCTTTTTTGGACTCAAAAGGTTTTCTGTTGCCAACCTATTAATATACATATAATCGATAATGAATTGTTGGAACCCAACGCACTGATCATTCAATATCTTTCCTCTCAAAACAAAAGTCACTTTCTACATGGCTTTCTTCAACTCTCTCTCATTTGCTCATTCACACCTGAATGCTGATATATATATATATATATATATATATATATATTCCTATATCTTTGTTGTTTTCCTCATGTTAGCAAGTTTGACATTCTCTTGTTTATGAAAATGTTAATGGTAATACAGTTTAAGATTTAATTTCTAGGTTTATGTATGTGCTCAAGACTGGTGTTATACTTGGCCAAAAAAAGATGTTGTTACACACATCTTTAATATGATATACTCTCTAAATTAAAATTGTCTCCCTTGTTTCAGTGTCGCAGGAGATGCATGCGTTTCTATGGATGAATGGGTCCAGAATCCCACTGCCCATACAGCGTTGGATGACATTCTGCCATGTGTGGACAATGCAACAGCCCAAGAGACCCTGTTAAAAACCAAGAATGTCACTTACCAACTTGTAAATGTTGTGAATGCTGTCATCAATAATGTCGTTAACCAAAATTTCCCACCAGCATCGACGCCTTTATATTACAATCAATCTGGTCCATTGGTTCCAGTTCTCTGCAACCCGTTTCATTCTGATCTCACAGACCGTCTGTGTGCATCTGGTGAAGTTAGCTTGTACAATTCCTCAGAGGTAATAAAAATAGACTCTTCTTGTAAGTGGAAATTGCTTAGCCATACATAAGTAGGCATGCATCAGATGCACAGTGCACACACATGTAGTGTAAATGTTGAAACCAAAAGCTTAAATAAATGGATTTAGGCTCAATTACCATCAAGAATGAGCCAAGTTGCTCTCTCCTGGGTTCAATTCCCTTAATTCTCAGACCAGGTTCAAGGCACACAGTCTATCTTTTAGGTCATCCAGATGACATAAATTTCATCCAAAAGACTTCTGTGATTAAGTTAATTAACAAGTTCTGAGCACCAAGTAAAGCTGATAAACTTACTAAGGCTAGTTACTGTCAAGTTGTTTAGCTGTGGCTTGTGGCTTTGTTGGAGGATAAATGTTTGCATAAAAAGACTTGAAAGGTTTTAAAATCTGTATTTTTTTAAAGTTTGTCTGCCATTATCCGCGCTTCTGCCGATCCAGAACTTTTTGGCATGATATTTTCAATTTTTCCCTAAATGTATATAACTAAATTAAAAGAAACTCATGACTGCTGTATCTGTTTCAAACAGGTTTGGAAGAAATATACCTGTAACATTTCTACATCCTCCGGGATTTGCACTACACCTGGGCGGCTGACGGCTCAAATTTACAGTCAGATGTCAGCTGCAGTGAATGTCAGTTATGGTTTGTATCGCTATGGTCCATTCCTAGTTAATTTGCAAGACTGCACTTTTGTGCGTGATACATTCACAGATATCAGTCATGATTATTGTCCTGGTCTGCGGCGCTATAGTCAATGGATCTACATTGGATTAGTAATTGTATCTGCTGCTGTGATGCTGTCATTGGTCTTCTGGGTAATCTACGCAAGAGAGAGAAGGCACCGTGTTTATACTAAACAGTATGATGCTAGATCAGAAGGCCTATACAAGGGGCGTTAGTATTCCAAAGCCTAGTTAGCAGGTTGTAATCTGCTCTAAATATCTGGAGTAACATACATTGCAAAATTTTGTACATTATACTTGTTGTCCTTAGGCTTGAATCTTTGTGCAATGCAGTCATAGCAACGCACAAGTTAATTACTAAATTAGTGCTTGGAAGCCTCTTCTGGGAGGAATGACTTATTTACCTCAGTTCATTTTCTCTAAGCATGAAAGTGTCTCTTTTAAAGAGCAGAAAACGATTCTATTCTGTTAATATGAAGCTAGACAATGTTTACAAACAAGAGGAAAAGCTCTTTCTAATAGGATATGGACTAAGAATGTCAGAAACTAGGAGTGTTGTACCCTTGGCTGTTTAGTTTCATTTTTCATTATGCTTATTGGAAAATTTGCATGGGGTTATAAAAATGGTAGTGCTTGGCAGTTGATGAATGGAATGTATGGACTATGGATTCCTACAATCAAGTCTAAAAATTTGTTATTGATGGTATTAAACTAAAAGCCCGTTCGAGAGGGCGATCAATGCGATTTCCATTGCCAATGATCTCAAACTAGCTATAACCACTGGTTTGTGTCATGTGTTAGGAAATTTTGATTTAGGTTAATTTTTGTTTTTTTTAAGTAAATACTAACAAATAACAAAAGCATTAAATCGTGTTGAACCTAGCTTCTTAGCTATTAAGCAATAAGGATCAAGGTTGTTTATGAAATAAGTCGCTAGGTCAATGTTAAGGCCCAAAGAAACCCAGAAGTCAGTTAATTCCTCTGGTGGAAATCACAGGCCATCTCATCAGAGAGTTGATGGACTTCATCTTCATCATTAGAATTTAACGGATTGGCCCAGGTTTCGGGAATCCTGATATTTGGAGAGGAGAATTTGACTGCAACAATCCAATAATCTGCTTGGAAGTGGTAACCGTCATTGAAACATGCATAATATGACCTTCAATTTATGACAGAACAACTTGAAGCCCCTTCGTTTGACCATTTCATGCTATCTTTATGAATCATCAAATCAATTCAATTAGCTACACACCTAGGTTTCCATCCTTGACCGACATAAGCAATTTTTTAACGTGAGATAAATTAGGCAGCAAAATTAAGTTAGGTTTTGTCAAAATAAATGGAGTGGCAAGTAACATTTATGATATACTTATCTAATAGACTATTGCTTAGCTGTCTTGCATCAATCAACATCAGTAAATGAACTGCTTTCTCTGCACACAACCCACGTGTAACTCTGAGTGAAAGTAGAAGTTAGGGTTTTCTTTCTTTTTCTTTTTTTTAATTTTCTTTCACAAGCTAATCCGTAAGGAAAACATTATAGGAGGTGATTTTTTTGTCTGCTTGTAAAAAAATATAAAAATTAATTATCTTTAAAAATTAATTAATTTGTAAATAAATTTAATTTACATATCTTATTATTAAATTCAAATAACTAATTAAAAAAATTAACCCTCGTATTTGTCAAGACAACACTCATCCAACATCACTTGATCATTAAAAAAGATCGACACCTAAATTCATTACCATCACAAAAGTTCAACAATGGAAAGGCTCTTCTATCAAGACCTTCTCGATTACAAAAGTTGATCATCAAACTACTTTCATTAACCCACGTCAATCTAATACAAATTTAACTTCTCTCTAACTTATCAATAATTTATTTAAAAATTATTAAATATAATTCACATTAATTTATATAAAATTTTTCTCAAACTTCACGTAAAATTTTCATTAATTATCACCTATTCGAATCTTATCACCATCTAAATATCGCCATGCACTCTCCATATAAAATAAACAGGAGGTCCAAATATTTTCATATATAACTCTTTTAAGTGCTGCGCCTCTAAGTTTTCCATACACTGACTCTTTACTCGCCCCTCGTCTCTCGTATACTTACCTGATTAGAGAATTGAAAAGCATTCCAAAGAACAAACTTCAACGTCCTTTGATTGTAATTTTTTTTACTAAGGTTCGATTTATTTCGTGACAAATAAATTTTAAAAAATAATTTTTATATTTTTATATGTTTATTTAATAAAAATTAATTGATAAACAAAAAATAATTTATTAATCAATAAAAAATAAAATTAATTGTTTAAAAACTATCTTACAACTTTAAAAAAATATATTTTTTAAAAAATAACTGTCTATAAGTATAATTATTTATTAATACTTTTTAACGTAATTTTGTTTATAAATAATATAATAATAAATATTATAATAAGATATAATAAATAATATATTATTAATAAATAATATACTATTAATATAATAAATTAATAAATAATATAAAGAATAATAAATAGTTTTATTTTAAGAATTTTTATATTAACATAATATTTTAATATTAAATATTATTATTAAAATATAATTTTTTAATATTAATAATTTTAATAATAAATAATTTCAATATATTTGAATAATAAATCATTTTGAATATTTTAATAATTATATTAACATTATATGGAAAAAAAAATTTCTAAATAATATCCAAATAACAAAAAATATTTTTTATTAACTCATCTAATTTATGGAATATTTCTTTTAACTCAAAAAATATAAATACTGTTTAAAAATTATTTTTTTAAATTAATTTTTTGTGAAACAAACGAAATCTAAATGTCCTAATCAATCCCAACTCAACCTCTAAATCACTTTCAAACTCAGCTCATGGGAAAAACACAACGCTTCTGGATTTAACTTTTCTCACATAATACCTTTTTTTTTTTTTTCAATCAATACCATGTAATTAAAATTTTCTTTAGAGAAAATTACACAGTTAACTTTTTATCCAGTAAAATTATCAAAATATCTTCAATTTCAGTGCTGCCTCATTTTTCAGTTAATGGTATTTCAGGATGTAACCATCTTGAAAAATTAAACAGATCTGTTCACAAATTTTTAATCAAGAAAAAAAAAAGTACTATGTGAAAAAGGCTAAAAACGTAGCCAAATATAGGTGAAATTTACCCTTAATTTATTAACTATGGATTATATTTATTTATATTTATTGTAACGAGTTTGAGATCGTCAAACGTAAAAAATTAAAATAAAAAAAATTATCATCAATTTTTTTTAAGATATGATTGATCATCTAAAATATTATTTTTTTAATAAAATTATAAAATAAGTTTAAAGTTTATCAAAAAGATAAATTTTGATTTACAAAAATATATTTTAAATTCGAGAATCGATTATACGTGAAGAAAGATTAACACATCTACAACATTCATAAATTGATATAATTTAATCATGCACTATTTTTTTGTATTAGTTAAAATAGTTTCAATTTGAAATTTAATAATAATCTCTTTTTTATTATTTTAAAAGAAGAAAAATTACTTTTATCAAAATTCTTTATTTAAGAATATAGAAGAAATCTTTAAATTGAAGAATTATCTTAAAATTCTTCAACGTCTAGGTAGAACTTTAAAGATAATACTTTTAACTGATATTTATCATGACATCTCTTAAAAATAAAAATAACATTATTTGAGAAAGATAATTGTTGATAATTCTCTAATATCTAGGTAGAGTATCAAGAATTATTCTCTTCGGGATGTTATTTTTATTTTATTTTATAACATCACAATTTTAAAGTAAGTAAATTAAAAATATATATTTTACGCGAAAAAATAAATGATGGTATTATTAGATAGTAAGTAAAAATTAAAAATAAATAAATGCAAACAATAATAAATAAATGCATATAAATCAATAGGTGTTATGTATGATGATGAAATGCAAATTTAAAATTGGATTCTTAAATATAATGAGACCATCTTGACTTCCCATCATTTATGAAGAGCTTAGGTGTGACTATTTATATTTAAAATCTCATTATATTATTGTTTTTTTTATTGATTTAATCTCATGGTTGAAGCGAATTACGGACTGATATAAAAATTTAATGAAATAAAGTTTCTTAAATACCTCATCGTTTAGGCAGCATTCGAAAACAAATTATTTTAAATGAAATTTTCTTACGTGTTCTTAAAATTTTGGGATGGTCTCGGTTTGAGCTTAGGTCGAAGTTTTAAAAGTTAAAATTTCAAGATTTTGAAAATTTAGATTTTAGGGTTTTGGTTCAAGTTTTAAGGGTTTTAGGGTTTAGTTTTAGGGTTTAAAGGGTTTTAGGGCTTGAATTTTAGGGTTTGGAAGGTTTAGGATTTTGATTTTAAGGTTTGGGGGTCTTAGGGCTTAAATTTTAAGGTTTGAAAGGTTTAGGGTTTTGAGGTTTAGGGTTTTGATTTTAAAGTTTAAGGTTTGAGATTTTGATTTTAGGGTTTAAAATTTAGGTTTAGGTTTCGAGGTTTTAGGGCTTGGATTTTAGAGTTTTAGATTTTCAAGGGTTAGGGTTTTAAGATTTAGATTTTTTTAATTTAAAAAAAAACATGAATATCTCTAAAATTCCCTAACATTTAGGTGAATTTTCGGAGCAAGTTTAATTTTTATGATTTTTTTTAAAAAATAATTTAAAAAATTCTTGTTTATGAAAATTTATTATAATAATATTATTAATTTATTATTATTATTATTATTATTATTACCTTTCAAAAAAAAATTTTATATAATTTTTCAATATCTGGGTGAAATTATATATTTTTTATTCCCTCTAACATCTAGGCAGAAAAAATAAAAAATGTATTATTTTATTCTTACTATTATTTTTTTAGATTATTATTATTATTTTTAAGCATTTTTAATATATATATATATATTTAGTTATTATCTTACTTTGTTTTCATTTTATTATTATTAAAAAACAATCAAATATTTATTCTAACAAATTTAAAAATTTATCATGCATGACTATTAAAAAATAATACTAAAAATAATAAAAATAATAATATAAAAAAATTAGAAAAGAAAACAAAAATCTAAAGATGACCGGTTAACGGTCTAGTCAACATTGATTCGACCGGTTCAGGTGGTTTAACGGTTCGATTAATTGAACTAGATGAAGGACGGTTCGATGAACGGTTCAGTTGAACCAGTTCAGAGTTAGCTGAAGGATGGGTCATCGAGTTGAGTTGCGTGAATCCTTGGTTGGGTTCAAATCCACGCGCGAATCCTACTTGGTCTAAACGGCGTCGTTTTGAACTTTAGTGTTATATATAAAGCTAATTTTTTTTATTCCATTTCAAACCTTTCAGCCAAAAAAAAAAATATTCAGAGCTCCAAAGTCTCTATCGACGTTTGACCGCTAGCACCGGTGCTATTGCCGCCAATGGTTGAAAAACATCAAAAAATTTCAAAAAGTTCCTCTCAACTC